TAGCCCAACTTTTGGAGGTTCTGGCAAGTCACTACTGCTGTGCGTGGCCCGGCGTGATCTTGACGGAAGCCTATCCCTCTCGTGTTGGTCAAAGCTTGCCGCTTCTGAGCGATTGATTCCTTCAGACGCTCCAATTGTTGACAGTAAAGATCCGAACACAGAGTTTGACCGTAGAAGAGCAGTTATTAGTAGATTACTCCCAGCCAATCCCACCAACTTCCATTATTTGGGAAAAGCATCCACTTTAAGTTTTGTACTACTTCACTCTTTTTGACGGAAGCCCATTTCAACTTAAATTAGAGACATTTATTTTTCGAGCTCGGAGCTGATTATGAAAGACATTTACTCCACTTGACTCTAGTAAACGAATTTGAAGAGGGGTTATACGCCCCTGTCGAGTCTACCCATTTTCAATTTTCTCTATGCATTACCCTTATTTCAGAAACAATGAGATAATTTATGCGCAATTGCAATAAACTTGTTGACTCTTCATTCCATAAAATAAATTAGTTCTGCATGTCAATTAATAGGTTTTATGACTCATTGTTATTAGACAGGATTCGAAATCAATTTTTAAAGGCCTATGAGTACGAAAACGAAAACGAGATTCAAATCTCAAATGGTGAGAAAGCACAGTTACATAATTATTAAAGTTACACAATTTGGCATACAAGTGACACCAAAGTGAATTTAAAAATGTGGCCTACATTTCGGCATGCAGGTTTTTAATATTCCTTTAAAGATCCTTAAAATCGAGCTTCTAACCAATTTTTATAGGTAAAAGTGCAAAAAATGGCTGGCAGTATCTCTCTCTTGGGTGAGAATACAAATAAAAGCAAAACCAAATTATAGATGATCTACATAGTCCGGACAAGTTGAGTATTTGCGGACAAATGCGAGTCAAAATGGCATCAAAAACATTGTACGCCACAAAAATTCGCTCGAAGTGACAAATAGACAAAAAAGAAAGTGATAAAAAACCATCTCTTCAACAAGCATCTGTAATGTCAAGCAGATAACCAAAATTGCAATGACAATTGTCGACAAGAAGTACTGCAAAAAGTAGCCAGTTAGTGAGCAAGTAAAAAATGTGAAGCATTCAAGCAAAGAAAGACTGTAAAATAGCAACAACAGCACTCACAGCGCATAACAAAACTGTGCCGCATTTCTTGAATTCTCTCTGTAGCGTTGCATGTGTATTATGTCTAACCACCTAGAGATGGCATTACAACTCCAGCTCTGGAGCAATCGCAAAGCCAGTAACAATAGAAATAAAATGTAAAATCGCATTTTCATGCGAATTTTTGCCAATTCATGTAGATATTTGATATTTCTTTGGTGGAGTCGTGCGGCCGTAGCTGTTGGTTTGCTAGTTATTAATTTTTATACCCAATGCATAGTGTATCGACTGGGTCTTTTATTTGTTGTTAATAATTTTTTTTCATTTACTTCGCTTTTTGCAAGCTATATTTTGCAAAAAGCTAGTTAATTGCATTAGTTAGCTTATAACAGATTTTGTTTTGCGAATCATCCTACCCCATTTAACTTCTTATTTCGATCATAAAATATTATATGGTAATGCGCCTAAAGATAGGCAACAAATACGATACGGATATATTTCAGCAGCAAAAGTCTTTAAGTCGTGCTTTTGCGAATACTTATTTGAACTTTATTTCGACTTTTGGAAAGGATCAGTTTGGATAGTTGAATCGATATAGTTTAACGTCGATCGTTTGTATTTCGATTTTCGATACATATATTACAATCGAAAAACTTAAAGGTTCGTATATAACCGTCGCAGTTTGAAAAACAGTATTCCCTTTCCGAGTGCATTTATGCATGAGAAGGTCTTGTAGAAAATCCTTTAGTCGTTCAGAGGCCTCTTATAACTTCTAGTAAACTTTTTCGTAGAGTTATAGCAATGTGTCTATTACAAATGCTAAACAGATGACGTAACTCCTTTTACAACGTCAGGGATAATTTTTTCATAAAGTTAGAGTAGAAGGAAAAATCAAGGTTACATTTAAAAACCAAACTTCTTGTTATTCAATAATATTTATTTTAACCAATTGTTGTTGGTTTTTTTCTATCGTATTTGCCTTGCATACTTTTTGGCGCATTATTAATTTTTTTTCCAAAGTTTATGTTTAAGAATTTTGTTCTTTTTAAAAATTTTTTTTGGGTAAAATATTTTGAAACTAGAGATAGACACTGACGCAATATTTATACTACGAACAATGTATATTAAGGTTGCCACGAAGTTTGTAACACCCAGAAAGAAATGTTGGAGACGCTATAAAATATATTATATATATAATAGATCATGTCCGTTTGTCTGTGACATTTTATTTACTTGCTGTAATTGTTTAATGTAATGGTTTTATGTAATCGCTTCAAGTCTTTATTACTATAACGTGCCAGTTAGTAAAATTACTCTTAAAAATTTGAACGCTGCGCATAAAAAAGTGTCAACGCACTCGAACTAAGTCGTATCCACTTGCATTACTGTCATATTTGTAGCAAACCACAGAGAATCCTCCGCATAAA